TGGGTACTTAAGTTTTTGGCGGGAAACTGCAAAAAATAAATTGCAAAAAGCGCATATTGGCAAGAGCCTGTCTGTGTGTTCGCACTTTTTATCACCCACTTTCACTCGAAAACCAGTAAAGCTAGAAGGAAGAAACTTTGGGAGTATGTGTCCATACCAAGTCCGTTTTAATATCATCCTCCATGGGTGACGTGCATCGACGCCTTAAAAAATACGCAAATTTTTTGGTGGGAAGGCAATCACGGATACCAGACAAGGTAAGGTGCTGAAAGTTTGTAGGGATACTCCCTATGCATGTCTGAGCTAAAGATTTCAAATTCAGCTTCAGGTATGCGTGGTACTCGCGTAAGGGCATGTGAAAGTTTTGGCGGGAAAATTACTAACTCGAGAATCAGAAAAGCTAGGAAGCTGAAATTTTCGAGGAATGTCCCCTGCCCAAATACAAATTGAGTATTTCGGTTTCAGCTTTCAGGCATGCGTAGTTTCCAAGTATGGGCACTTAAAAGTTTTGGCGAAAAAATTTCTCACTGAACAGCTAGGTTACTTTCAAAGAACGACAGTTAAATGGAAATTGTACAAAACAGGTGTAAAGCAACAACCATTCATGCAGTTGGTGACCTAAGCAATTCAAGTCTGGTGCAAAAATGTATGATCACATGGGCCCACCCGGTGCGTTCCAACTTGGGTTTCGGTAAATGCTCGCTTTTTGAAAAAATGAAAAATGCAAATTTTTTGAAAAATGGAAATTCCCAGTTCACTAAAAAGTGAAAATGTCGCTCGAACGGTCGTTTGTCAAAAAATTCATGGATGCAAATGAACCGGCCGTTCCCTGCAAAACGAGGTCGTTTCTGATTTTTTGGTAATGTTGAGTATTTCTCGTGCCCACCTGCAAGGAATATTCACTCCCAGCAGAATTAAGATCGCATTTGAAAATAGAATATCCCAGACTTTCAGGCTCGCATCTTATTCGGTAAGCGAAATATACATTCTGCTTCAAATACCTTTGAAATGCCCTAACGTGACGCAAGTGAAAATTAGTATTTGTTTTAGGTATACGGTTTCCTATATGGGCAACAAACATGCTGACAAATTTTCAGCCAGTTTTTTCCGGCAAGTTTTCGAGTTAGCATAGTACCAATTTGCAAGCTTTTACGTGATCGTATGCGCTTCACAAGCGTGCGAGACAGCCAAATTTGAAATAGGCAATATCTCTGCAAAGTTTCAGCTCTGTACCTTGTCTAGTTTGCGAAATCGTTTCCCACCATTGGAATTTGCATTTTTTTCGTGAGTCCGTATGCAGGGTCTAGGCGCGTGTGGAGTAAGATCTTAAAAAGGGGCGGTGACATACGGGGTAGGAACATAAACCCAAAATTTCAATCTTCCAGCTTTTCTGGTTCCTGAGATGAAAGTGGGTGGCAAAATGCACTTGCTTCCGGGGGCGTGCAAACATACGCACACACACGCACACACACATACACGACCTCTCGACAATATGCGTTTTTACCGGCTGTAGCAGCACAACAAAAACCTATAAAAAAAGGAAAATACTTTCAGCTAAATATGCGTAGAAACAATACTAGACTAGAAGAATACGGTAAAACACGATACCTTTTTGGCGAACGGAGTAACTTCATTAACGTTGTTGAATAATAACAATTGGGCAGCATCGTTTTGCGAAACTTTTTTAAAGGAACATTCGATACATGACGCTATTTCATCCCTGAAAAAAAAAAAAAACCGGTAGAAACTGTAATGCGGTTTTTTAAGATATCACCAATTTTTAAGATATCATCAAATTTTTAGTGGCAGCTATAAAAATTTTAGGATTTACCGGACAGTATCCATTGATATGCGAATAAAAAGAGCATAATATGGGCTGGGAATATTCTTTTCCGTGAGAACCACCTGTAATATGAGTATTCAGAAATAATTTAAGACTGGCAAATGAAAGTACTGTAGCAGTGAAATCCCGTACAATTAGATGGGAGGAGGAGAACCTTATTATAAACGCCTTCCATCAGCGATTGCTCCAGTTTCACCGGTGTTGTAATGTACGGATTGTTCTGCTGAATATTTTGATCGATCTGTTCCAGCAACTGTAATAAAATTTCTTGGGAAAATAACTTTGCCTATGTTTTAAGTCGTATAGCAAAATGCTACAAAATGCCTCCAGCAGCAAGTGCTCATTATTTCGGCTAGCAGTCATCCTGGGAGTTTTGCTTGACCCCATTCCCAACTTCCACTTCGTCCTTTTCGGTTTAGCCAATTATAATTGTTCATAAATTTTCATTCTTATGCTCTTTGACAGTACTGTGACTCTCAGTACAGCCCTAGGTCAATCCCACTCTCTCGGACATAACTTAGGTCTTGAAAATTGTTTTGAATTTGTCAGGTTTCTATCCACAGAAGTTAGTGCTACAGCAAACTTCTGTTATAAATGCTCACTTATTGCTTGGGTAAAAAATAGGATCCTACAAGGAAAACAGAATCTTAAGAGGAAGAAAACGACTAAGTGATTTATTCCAAATATATTTATTAATTTTTAAGAATATTAAGATCGCCCAGACCGTGAGTATCCCATGTCAGTAGCTTTTCGGGATATCCCCACACATCGGGAGCAACTATGCCACGACCTTCGATCTTTAGGCTACATCTCCAGTTGATTTTTTCGATGCACGTGTGCCGTAGGGTATTATAATTGTCACTGCGGGAAAAAAGACGGTGAAAAAGTACCATGTGAAACTGTGCGTGCTGGTTAGTGGCGAGCAAATACATGAGGTTCAAACCGATCATCAGATACTTGTTGGACGACTCTTCGTTTGAGCTGAAATTACGAAGAACTGCAAAGCTGCTCATTTTCCACTATCAGTTCACCTATCTCGTTTTAACGGTAAATTAATAAAAAGTACCTGTAGGAATAATAAAAATTCATGACAATACTGATTGCATCGCGAAATGCTTTGAGATCAGACCTGAGCACTGCACTGAGCACATCGATTTCGTATACGTCTCCTAAAATTGAGCATTCTGCGCAAGACTGATATGTCATATTTACCCGAATTGACAATTCAGAAATGCTAAACATTATTAAAAGGAAGCCACACAACCCACAAATACTAGCATCGAATGTCTGAGGATTCTGGTACCAAGAACAGCCCCTATCTTTTAAACATATAGTCATTCTACACTAGCTTTATGTGGTGTTTTCTAAATTTCAGTTTACTGATTTCTCGAATGTGGATTCTAACCCTTCATTTTCTCTTTTCTCTTATACTGCCAAATACTTTTCCTATTTTGCCTTCAACTTCTCAACACCTGCTCTCGTCCTCTCGCCCCTAACTTACTTCTCTCAGTAGCTCAGTTTTTTCTTTCCTTAAATACTCATTTCATTTATCTAGGCCACATTTTCAACAATTATTTCATAAAAAACGCCTCGCTTCAAAAATTCAAAAATAAGTTTTGCATATGACAGATTTAAATGCCCAAAAGCCTGTAGCATCAAAAGTTCAAATCTCGGCCGGCTTTCAACCACGTGAAAAATAAGCTTTTTCAACTGCAATCATTTCATGCAATTACATGAACACTCAACGTCGTTCAAATGCTCCAAACGATACGAATGAGAAACTTACGATGTATTGAACGCAGTGTTGCTTCGCTCAAACCTTTCAAAGCATCAGCATTGACCATAAGCTCCTGAAATTTGTTCTTCAAAATGAACATGCTTTCGTGGAATGGCCAATTCCACGAAAAGGATATGATTCGGGGGGAACTGGGGCTGATCCTTTGTGTGTTTTAGCTTTTGTATTTTTGGGCTTTGTGTTGCTTGTCCTTTGTATGCGACATAATGGGATTTCGTTGTCACCTTACCATCCGCCTGCCGCCTTTTGGAATTGGCTGCCTCCTTTGCATTTTCGCCTGCGCCTGAGGATTTGGGCTGCCGTTTTTATGCGTTTTTTGCAGCTATGCAATACAAAAACGCATATTGTCGAGGGGTTGTTTGTGTGTACGTCTATAACGAGTTTTCATCTCGAGATCCACAAAAGCTACAAGGCTGAAAATCTGGTACATATACGTCTACATATACGTGTGGGCTCGTATACTCAAAAGAGGCGCTCAGACCCATGTGGTTCTCACATAGGGCTACGTGAAAGTTTTTTTTGGTGGGAGTGCGTTTTCGAGAACGGCACAAGCCAGGAGACTGGAATTTCACAGAGGCACTCCCTGGCCATGTCTAATCCAAAGATTTCAAATTCAGCTTTCACACAGCTCTAGGACTCACTTACACACATGTCAAAGTCTAAACTGGCGTCATGCCAACTCCAGATTTAAGCTAACCGATAAGCTGTAGAGAGCTGCAATTTTGCAGCGTTACCTGTCGCCCACTGTTGTGCTCGTGAAAGTAAATTGAATTGTCCAGCCCTTCTGCATCTCATGCACGAATATCACGTATGTGCTTTTGTAGCTTCAGAATTGAAGCAGCCAGAAGACTGGAACTTTCTGAGCATAACCAACGATGGCCCTTGACCAGATGGACGCAAAAACGACTTACACATCTCTTCACGTTTCACATACGTCTCACGTATACAGACATGAAATTTGA